GCAGTTACCCCTTTGTGTTGGCATCAATAAATGTGTTGTCTCCAAAGAGCACGTCTGCGACTCAGTGGAACTCACTACACGTGTCTGCTGAGATTCTGGCCATTTCGGGATGGTCACTTGCCAGAAGGAAAGCTGGAGTCATGGCGAAAGAGAAATGCAAACCCGTTGTACAGCAGGCCGCTCTTTTCATGCCGTTTCCAGGATAAAACTGAAAATGGGAACACAGGCGCAGCTGCACGTTCTGGAAAATTCATTTAAATTAACTGGTAGGGAAAAAACAATCGCAGCGCTTCTCTGTTCACAGGTAATTCAATCCCTGTAAAAAAGTAAAGGTGCATTCCTGCAATTGCTTGCTCATGACACTGCTGGCAGAATGCCGCCTCCACTCTGGAGGGTACATTGGGCCTACTCTTTCATGCTGGCCAAACATCTTGGAAGCATTATGAGACCTCTTTGCCAGTAACAAGATATAGTAAAAGCTTGGCTGTGTTCACTCCAGCGCTGTCCTCTAGACAGTCTGGTCCCTTCACCTGATGAAGGCCACTTGTGTTGTGGCCGAAACGTCGTGAATTTTTTATTTTTTGTTGTTTTTTACGTGACTTTACCGAATAGAACCAAAGAGTATAGGTTTTCACCCTTTTATCTGGCACAAAAACTGACACCTTTATACAAGGGATCATGTTTGCAATAACCACAACACAAGCAGTCAAAATGCAAACAAAAGAGACAAGTCTGATAATGATATGCACTGTCCTTGAATTTGATTGGCCCACACCCGAGACGGCTTTTCTTAGAGCCTAGTCTCCACTGGTGTTGGCGTCATCTGGTAAAACACCAGTGGAGACTAGGCTCTAAAAAAAGCCGTCTCGGGTGTGGACCAATCAAATTCAAGGACAGTACATATCATTATCAGAGTTGTCTTTTTTGTTTGCATTTTGACTGCTTGTGTTGTGGTTATTGCAAACATGATCCCTTGTATAAAGGTGTCAGTTTTTGTGCCAGATAAAAGGGTAAAAACCTATTACTATATCTTGGAAGCATATATATGGGGAGTACCCAAAGTATACCCCACCACACGTGACAATGCCAATTAAAAAAACTGTAAACTATAAAAAATATATATATTACCAGTAAGGCCCACGAAGCTAAATAGCTCTTTTTCAGAAGCGACCTGGCCACAAATGATAGCCCTCTTCCAAGATGTCTGGTGACTGGACATTTGTGAAAAATAACTTCATAGCTCATCAGATTCCTCCCCTATAAATGAATATTCTGATTCTGAAGTGGCTTATCATCACGTGAAAACGTATAGCAACCAAATACTCGAAATGCATGTTGATTCAAGGTGTGGAGGGAAAAACCAGAGGAACCGGAGAAAAATCCACACAACCCACAATCTCCTGTATACGAGGCGAGAGAGTCAAACCCATTTATACTGCTGCTAAGTTGTTGGGGAGGGGGGGGGATTAAAAAGCTTACCCGTTGTTTCAACCGCTGTGATGGCAGAACATTGAACTGCCGTTACCCTCTGGGTCTCAAGTGCAGGAGAGTGCTAACAGCATCCATGTGGCCGCTAAAGCTTGTTATGGGTCAATAAAGCAAGAGGCCAAACCCAAGACCAAAGCAGCGAGTCCGATATATGAACAAATATATAAAGCTCCTGAATTATTTTAAAATCTACAAAGAACCAAGAAATACGTTCTACATCCCTGGACGCTATGTGTGTTGTGAAGAAAGTCCAGTGGCCCTAAAAATCAACGATGATATAATTTTGCCTTTTAAGGCAGTGTGAGTGAGGAATGTGTTGAGTTTCTTTCATTATATATATGCATGTGTGTGTGCGGGTGGGGATAATTGAAGTGCAGTGGTTAGCACGCTGCGCTGAGAACCTGGCAACCCAAGTTCAATTCCCGCTTACGGTGTTATCTGAACCGGTCCTGGGTCCCCTCCTATGTCAACTCGGCCTCAAATGCGGCATGTAACCATCACCACTTGGGAGACAAAGGTGGCTGGGCGTAGTGCTGGCCACCCACCCCAATCGTGTGCCAAGCCGGCCTTCATAGGTGCTCGCTAACACCACTTGCCCCAACAGCCTGCAAAGGCCACACGGGGAATCTTTGTCTTCTTTGTGTGTGCATGTGCGTACTTGGTCGGATTCAAGCGTGTACTTTACAGTGGGAGCAAAGTCCAGGCTGTGATGGACCAAGCCAAGGGAGAAAAATCTCTGGCAACTTGCGGGTTTCCATGAAGCAAATTTAATTGGACTCGTTGACTCACCGCAATTAAGGCGCGCGGCTGTGGCATGTCGGGGCCTATGTTCTGTCAACAGTAGGCCCAGAGTACATCATCACGCCATACAGTTCAGAAGTTTTCCTTTGTGTTCTGTTTTGCAGTCATTATGCAAAAATGTAATAATAATGTCAGTAACCAGGGCAAAACACTTCGTTTAGTCTTTCCCCAATCACAATATTTATCTAGATTAATTTTTTTCAAACGAGGAATTTATTTGGCACAAAAAATGACGATGATAGTAATAGAATGCTTGGGGTGAAATGGGTCCATCGATTCAACAACCTAATTCGATTCATAAGGATGCTGATATAAGGTATCGAACCGCATGCGCAAGCACCGTCGATCCGTATACGTTATATGACGGGGACGCTGTGGATGTGTAACGGTTGGCGCCGATTCTGAACTTGCAATTAAGAGGTCGCCGGTTCGATTCTCAGCACGGCTGTCGAAAAGATCCTGGGGTTTTTTTTCACTCCCCCCAGCAGCCACGCACCTCTGTCCACCCCAGCAGTATAAATGAGTTACACCACAGTCAAGTCGATTGGCAGGTCACGTGTAGTGGTTAAAAGTGTGGATTACTCCCACCTCTTCAAAGATGTCTGTCCAGTGTGGAAGACGAGGCCAAGATACCCTCCCATCAGGGCTCTCTACAGATATTTTTAGATGAGGGCCGATCTGCCAGCGATGGTATGAGCACAGAACTGCAGGGCTTGCACCTCTACCAGTGCAGGTGACATGCGTGCATGTCACCCGTCCCCCGCCCCCATTCCGCCGCAGCCCTAAGAGGTGCTAACATTCATCGCAATGTTCAGAATAAAAATGATCAAATCCTTGATTCGAATCGTGATCCCCGTCCCCCCCCCACCCGAATTGTGAGAATGTATCCAGTCGCTGATTTGAACTGTTCCAGTCACAGTAGAATACCAACGTTGACTAATGTTATTTTGGAAACAAAGCTGACAATAATAGCCGAATACGTAAACTATTGGGTAATGCAAAAGACTGCTTTACATTTAAACTTGGCAAAAGTGGTCTGCTTATGAAAAATGTGCATTAAAGTGGCTTCTGCACAGACAGGTCAAGATGGAAAAGGCTGGACCGAAACACATGGCAAGCCTTAGTCCAGCAAAGAACACAAGTTTTCCTATCACAAGGAAAACCTTAGTTTGTTTTGAAATTTAAATATTAAACATAGACAACTGCTGGATAGTAGCGTTAACAACAATGTGTTTTATTTATTTTGAAAATCCTCACCGAATCTCAAAACTTTTTTTTTTTGTAACCATTGGGAATGGATTGTGATTTACAGTCAATTTTTCACAGAGCCCATAAAAGTTGGTTCAGGATTAAATTTGTGTGGATTCCAGCTGTGTGCGCCCACCATGACCAGCACGATTCGACACATATGCCGTGAGCCTAAGACTATATTCTTCCTTTTTTCTCTATTTCTCAGTCTTTGTGTAGCCAATTATATCCCGATAATGCCACCACGGTGCCATCTCACGGGATGAAGAATCGATTCGAAACTCTCGTGGAGTACAGAAAATACAATGCAAAAAGAACAGAAGTAATTTAGAAATTTCTTCAAGTTACCTCTCATCCGGACACTTTCCAACCTGCCCAGCCACATGATGTTTGTTAGTGATCATTCTCCGAACTGGCACTTAGCGAAATGAAAACTCATTTTTGAAAACGAATTTCTTAAGAACTGCTTTATGTGTTTAGTTTGTTGACCTTCCCCCACACCTCCGATAAGCACGGTTGACTACGTACGGTGCGAAAGAAGTTCTATATACATGCATAAAAAATGATGGGGGTTTTTTTTGTCCAGAGTGATTGGTGACCGGGCTGAGACCCCCAACTCTATACGCTTGAGAACCCAGTTTAATCACGGGTGGGCGAAGCTCTGATTCGAACCGAGCATCGAAGCTGTGCCAGCACTGATGCATCGTTGTGCGTGCTTTTCTGCCTACCGCCAGACGAGACGTACGCATGCACGTACGGTGAACGTCTTTCGCACCGTGCATAGAAAAACCGCGCAAAACGGAGGTTCTGACCTCTGCCTTCCCCCTCGGCATATATCGGACAACCCTTGACAAAGCCCCTCAGCGGTGAACAGTTCGAAGGAGCGTACCGAATTACCACCCAAGAGCAATTAAGCCGCAGCCTCCCATTGAACCCATTCACTTAAGGGGACCCAGGATTAAAATATATATTAAGCCACTGTTGTTTGGCATGGATTTCGTGCAGTTAAAACACTCGCCGGCTGAGGCTCAAAATGTGAGCGCATTAGCTCTGCCCCCCTTTATGTCTGTCTGTAACCTGGAGGGTGGGGGGGGGGTGAGCGTGCGTCACAGTAACTGTCGTGAAGATCTCCAATATCAACCAAAGGCGAGTGCGAAGTGGCGGTGTTGTTCGGGGACTCGCACCACAGAAAACCGGCCGCATTCATGACGGCGTCGCCGAATACAATGCACGAAAAGCCCAATAACAGAGCGCTTCGACAATGCCGGCCACGGTGCTGACGTTATTACACGTGACATCACTCCGCCGTGCGGCTTAAAATCGAAACATCACCACATGGATTGCAATAACCCCGAGGGCGAACAGCGTTCTGCAAAGTCTGTTACGGAATCCACACGAAGGAGTGATTTTCCTTCCCCCGTCGTTTATCTAAGATTATCCGGGGTTTTTTCTTCTTTCCGTACCTCGTCTTGATCCATCACGGCGAACACGATGGTGGATATCCTCTCTCCGTGGTTTTCCAAAAACCTGCGGACGGTTCCTGGGGGAGTCGAGAGGGGGGGGGTGGGGGTGGCGTGACGATGAGACACAGGCACACAAAAAAGATTACGGATCCTGTCTCAAGCGCGGATGACCGATGGGTGGGGTAAAGGGCAGGCAGAGCCACCGCCTCCACCCGGCGATTTCGCACGCAACTAAAAAAGGGGTTAAAGGCATGGGCCCTGCAACTGCTCGCTCGTGCCACTGATGGTGCAAGGGCCTCCACTCAGGGAACCTCGGGAACACACTCGAGCAATCTTCGTCCTGGATAGAAGAGCGTTGTAAGGAAACTACGCTATGAGAGGAATGGCTGTACACATTACTTATTTCTTTCCGTGACCTGCTTACCTTTTCAATCGATTTTTTGTATTGTTTGTTGTTGTTGTCGTTGTAAATTGTTGACCCACCCATCTGTCCCTTCTTTACAGAATGCTCTTGCAATTTAAAAGTAATATAATTTTCACTGTAATCATCCATTTAACCAATTACGATCTTATTCCAGCTTGAATCAGATACAACACTGCAACTTTCAAAACTGAATTCTACATCCAACTTTGGCAATGTTTAAAAAAACGACCCGCAAACGGCTCAAACATAGGTTCAACTCGACAAACCATCGGCCCACTTGGCAGGACCCTCCAGAAAAAGAGTCAGAAGACTCATTAACACTTTCCTGGGTAATTAGGTGAAATAAAATAATAGCACAATGTAAAACAAAAACATTGCAACTGCTTTTGGAAACCACGAACATTAAAGAATATTAATGTTGAACGAGCATCAATGACCCACGCACTCTCCGAGGGGCCCTGTGGCTGGCTTGCCGCTTAAAACTTCACAGCAACGCACAGCATCCAGCAATACAAGTTGGCCATTTATCTGCCCATTTATTTACACAAACTGAAATTCCCAGACAGTGGTGTTTCTCACAACCGGCAAGACTCCACACGATGGAAGGAAAGAGAGAGAGAGAGATTCGGCAAAAGCGGCGCAAATTTGGCCGCGCGCTTGGGAGCATTTGGCCGCCCGTCAGAGCCGAAATCAGATTCTTAATCCAGCGGCCTGACAGGGCACCCTGCCCTCCATCCCGGGCCACATGGCGGTCGGCTCGGCACGAGGCGCGGGCGCCGGGGCCATCGCGTTGGGAGCGTCAGGAGCAACAGCCGGCCATCATCCCGGAGACGACGAGCCAGCGGCGCTTTCACGGCGGACGCCGGAGAGGTTACGAGGCCCCCCCCCCCGAATCGTGCGCATCCAATTATCATCAAAGCCATTAAGCGCCGGAACGATCTCCGCAGGCCCCGTTACTCACCTGCTCAGGAAACTACGAGCGAGCGCGGCAGGGCTTTTGGGGTTTGGGGGGGGCCGAGTTTTGGGAGCTGGGGGCAGGGGGAGGGCTTGTAGGGGGGGGGGGGGATGCAGTTAGCCCCCCCGTTATGATGACGGTTCCAAGTCGGCGGGGGTGCGTTCATTTCAACAGAATGCATGCGTCGGGCTGTAGCGCCGCGCTCTTCTGAACCAAGTACGTTAGCACGGTTGGCTACGTACGGTGCGAAAGACGTTTCACAAACATGCACACATATATCGGGCAGTAGAAAAGTAAACGAGCTTCGGCAGGAAGAGTGAAGGTCTGATGGCCAGTGGTCGAGACGAACGGCAGGACAGTGTTTACATTGCTCCGTGAAGGACTCCTCCATGTCTCACTGCCCAACCTTCATTGGTCACGCGATGTTAAAATCGGTCTCGCTCTTGCACGCGACCTGGACTCGGCGCGGTTACCAAATTTGTACGTAACGTAAAACCGCAAACGCTTAAGATTTACACGTACTAAATCTTAACTTAAGGCTTTCGTGACTGCAGGAATTCACGTTCTTTGGGTCTTTCGGTAAAGTCACGTAGATGGAACAATAAAATAATAAAAATACGTGACTTTACCGAAAGACCCAAATAACATTTACACGTTCTCTTAGTACAAACAGCATCGCGTCTTGAAAAACCTACTCCACAGAAAACAGAACTTACAGGGCCAGGATTTAAGAAAAAAAATCTTCACGCGCAGTAGAAGTAGATCGCTTCATAGGATGTGTGTTTTATCTTCAAAATAATACGATCTCCATCGGGTAAATGCGCCTTTCGACGAAAAAGAATTTGTTCATTTACCACTGTTGTGAAAAGTTGTACTAATGGCATGAAATATAAAGAGAGGTGTGTAAGCTTGTATAAATAAACATAAATAACCCGAGTAACTGCATCTCCATCTCTCAATCGGAACCAGCCATCCGTCTCACTGAAATGTGCAAAATCACTGCAACTACTACCAATGCCGTAAACAGTAAGCTAATCTGCTGGGACTTTTTATTTCATTACACTTTTGGCAGCGAACACGCTCAAGTGTGTAAGTTAATTTCCACTCGCATAACTCATACGCAAAAGTTGAGCCATTCCAACGACCGCGATTCAACACGCACAAGCAAAAAAAATAAATGTTCTGATGGTTTCTGTTGGGACTGTTTATTGCATTACACCGGACACCTACAGTATCGAATTTTATTTGAAGGTGCACGCCGAGTAAGTTGCTGCAGATGTGTCCACCGAGCTGTCTGAAATAGTTATGTCGAAGAGAAACACGCAAGCACGCGTGTTCTGAAAAAGTTTGGGTGGGCGGGGGGCACGGTGGCTAGATGTTATCTACCTCGCCTGGTATGCAGGAGGTCGGGGGTTCGATCCCGACCCTGATGCCTGCTGCTGTATATTTGGAGTTTGCATTTTCTCTCCGTGGCCATGTGGATTTTGTCTCCGGGCCCTCCATGTTTTCCCCTCAACATTCTGAATCAAGGTCAAGCGTTCAGATTATTTTACTGCTATAAATTTCCACGCAATCATCTTTTTTGGCCAGGTCGTTTCTTAAAAAAGAAGCCATTAGCTCAGTGGGCTTCATCTGGTGAGAAAAGAAGTTAATTTTTACTTGTATATTTTTTAAAAGGTGATTTGCTTACCTTTCCGATACTTTGCAATCCTATCGTGTTTTTGTATCGTTTATCGTTGTAACGTTCTGACCCGCCACTACTGGACATAGGCGAAAAAGAGCTTCATAGCTCATCGGATTCCCCCAGTATAAATACATCTTCCGATTCTGGATAGCAGCAGAGCACGTCGCTCAAACTCGGCCCTCGGCGCACGCGCAGATTTGTCTCCCTTCTCCGTGTGTACGCTGCTGCCATTTGCAACGGCCAGCGCACTGGATCAGCGGATCCGGAATGCAGCCGGTTCGACCGCTCGGCGCGGCAGTTTAAACGAACGGGGGGGGGGGGGGGGGGGGCAAATTTCTTTAAATCTCCCCCACCGCTCCCTCCCTGGTTCTCTCGCCTTGTGGCGCCCACTCGGGTGGGGCAGAGAGTCCGAATGTCCCCCACCTCCTTCGTGAAGCCCCTGGCACGCCGACCTCGGATTTTTGCTTGCAGGGTTTGTGTTTCTCCCCCCCCCACCCCCTCTCCGCCCTGCCCCCTGTACTGTGATTGGTGCAAAAGTACCGGGCTCGCGTTGAGTCGCATTTAACAAAAAAAATAAAACATCTTCCCCACCGCCTCACCATCCACCCAGAAGAATTACAAACGGGTAACGCCACAGGTCATCGATGGGGCAGGCCGCGTGTGTGGTGGGATAAAGTGTGGGTACTTCAACCTCTTCCCAAATTTCAGGGCAGCGTACAAAAGCGAAGAACAAAAACACCCTCTCTGGACGGCCTCTCTACGAGAAGATATCTCCTGCGGTGGTCTCTCCGCCAGCGGTGGAGCGAACAAATAATTGCAGGGCTGCATCATTTACTTTACTCACGCCGGGCACGTCTGCGCATACAAATTAAATCCCCGTTCCATACGGACCCCGGGGGATCGAGCGCCAAGCAACGTCAAGAGCCCTTACAGATCCTTTACAAACGATGTCTAACAACGGGGGCACGTTTCCCTACGTTCCGATTGTGACTGTCGACGGCAAAAACAACAATGCCGCATTTGTACGGATCGCGGAGGGGATGAAAGATGTTTTGATGTTTTTGTTGTTGATCCGGTAGAATCAAAGGATCTCTGTATTCTCTACGCACGCCGTCTCTGGGGCCAGATGTTACGGCCCTTATTAAAAAATGAGCACCTCGGCACACGAGCGATATGCTTCGTGAGCCTAGATAGGCAGTTAGTTGTAAACAGGCACGCGTTGTTTCACAGAATCATAAATCAGAATATTTACTTATAATGGAGGAATCTGATGAGCTATGAAGCTCTTTTCACAAATATCCAGTCGGGGCGGGTAAGAACGTTACAACAACAAACAGTACAAAAACATGACAGTAGTACAAACAAGCAAGGTAAACAAATCACCCATGCAGATAAAACGAAACCATCCCCCCCATCTACGACTGCCCCTATAGACCGTGGGGAAAAGCTAACGATTCATGTGAAGCAGATTGTAGACCTGAGATCACCAGAGATAGGGTGGTAACTCAGACGTAGCTCCGTGATATCCTTCGTGTCGTGAAGACACAACGCCGATAGCGAGATCGGGGATACAATCAGTGGGGGAGGGGGGCAAAATTACAGAAAAAATGTTTCATAAGGCATTTCAGAAGCTGCTGTTGAAGCTCAGCGCGTCTGAAAAGCCAATGAGGTGCCCTTATTCATATTCTCGGCAATGGCTTTAATGAAAATTATTTTACAAGGACGGAGAATAAAAAAACACACACAATCGCCAGCACCATTAGCGCCGCCATCAAGCGAACTCTTCTGCCTGCCCACAGGGCTCTCTACCCTGAAGATGGTCAATGCAGAAATAAGGCCCAAAGATGTTAGCCTGCCTTCACCGCCGTCGCCATCAATCGTCATTACAGCTACGGTTTGGTACGGTAAATTTTTTTTCAAAATACACGGTTGAGGTGTGGGTTGAAAACACAATAAATCGTGGAATAAAATCACAAAATAAAGGTGCGGCAGTGGCATTTCGGAGAGAAGCAATTAATAAATAAGGATATTTATGGGGTACCCGGTTTGATTAGAAGAAGCACGATTTGTTACAGCTGCCCAGACATACACATGCATACGCACGATCATACATGAGACACAAGACAAAGGACAGCTACACACGAATGCACACACACACGTACACAACGACAATGTGGAGAGACATAAAGACAAAGATTCCCCCTATAGCTTTAACAGACTATTCGCGCAAGTCGTGTTAGCAAGCACCTTTGAAGGGCGGCACGGCAGACGAGAGGGTGGGTGGCCAGGCCCACGTCTGGTCACCTTTGTCTCCCAAGTGGCGATGTTTACACACTGCAAAAGGTGCTCATTTAAGGCTGAGTCGACCTAGGGGAGGCCCAAGACCCGTTCAGATAACCGTCAGTGGTGTTGGCCGCGAGCGGGAATCGAACTCGGGCCACCGGCTACGTAGCGCAGCGCGCTAACCATTCCACTACACACAGACACGCTCACACACAGACAGAGGCAGACAGACACACGCATATGCACACACAAACAAACAGGCAATCATACCGCACTGACGCACACACACACACAGATAGGGACACGGCGGCCTTACTCAAGGCAATGTGTGCCGCGTCAGCTGCTGGGAAGCCTCTCCTGGGCGTATTGATGACACACAGCCCCACGGAGGTCAGGCGATTCTCCCTGCAGCGCACACAGAGATAAAGACAAAGGCCCTCTGTACAACCAATTCATGACCGCTGGTAAAAGTGCGATTGGTGAGCACCTATTAAGGCCAACACAGCACACGGCAATTATACATGGCCTCCTTTGTCTCCCATAGTGGCGATATTTACACACCGTGCCAGCTCCTCATTTCAGGCCGAGTCGACCTAGGAGAGGACCAGGTCTGGTTCAGATAATCGTCCAGGAGCGGTAATCGAATTCGGGTCGCCAGATTCGTGGCACAGCGCTCTCACCACTGTATTAGCGCTCAATACAATCGCACAGAGTCTCTCACACACAACAACCGCCATTCGCCACTAAGTGGCGGTGACGTCACCACGACGCTTGTGCCAGGCTATGTGCACGTTGAGGCCACGTGAAGTGTCGAACGCCTGCTGGCAGGAGGTCACGGGACAGACCCAGGTGCCACGGGTCGACTGACTGAGATGAGTGGCTGATGCACCACCTGTGCCTCCTACTGTGCTAACTTGCTGTGCTTTAGTCACCCGGCGCTCCGCTCGTTGTTGTGAACGTCTCTCCTCTGCCCTCCGTTGTTGTTGGAGGGCGACTGCCTCCAACTGCCCAGTAGCGTCCTTCACAAGCCTCCTCCACAGAGGCCGATCTTGACACCGCTGGTACCAGTCATCGGCAAGTCCACTCAGCTCCACGTCCTCCTGTACCACATCACTCCATCTCTTCTCTAGCCCGTGCCGTGCCGGTTTAGCCCCCTCCATCCGGCCGAACAAAAGCTGTTTAGGAATGCGGTGTCTGGGCATGCAGCCTTGCCTGCCGGAGGAGCTCACCGATGGGACTTATTCTAGAATTCCCTACACCTCTGCTGCAGCAGACGGATAGAAAATATGGCATCTGTGCAGGACCGCCCTTTCCTGAAACCGTATTGGGGCTCCGCAAGCCTCTCCTCAGCGTGCCTGGCAAGGCGATGTTGAATAATCCTTGCCAGGACCTTTCCCGGCACACTGAGGAGTGAGATGCCCCTGTAGTTGTTACAGTCTGTGCGGTCCCCCTTCTTAAAGAGGGGGACCACCAGGGCATCCTTCCAATTCTGCGGAACCTGTAGTCCTGGCTAGGGGGTGGTCGACAGATAACAACACCCATTGGCGGCTCATTGCGACGCTTTGGCTTCGCTTCTTCCCATATCGCAGTTGGTGTCGACCCGACTCACATGGCGATGTGCAGCACGCGCTTGTAGCATCCGTGCAGCGAGGTCTCGGCCGCCGTGCGGTAGCGCGAGTTGTACCGCGGCCCCACCGTGTGCACGATGAAGCGCGCCGCCAGGCCGAAGGCTTTCGTCATCTTGGCCTCTCCGGTGCGGCAGCCTGCAAGCCCAGCCCGCCCGCGGAGAGACGCGGGCACGCGGACATAGAGAGACACAGCGAGACGCAGAGGGAGAGAGAGAGACAGAAAGACGCAAACAAAGAGAGACATAGGGGAGAGACAGAAAGACAGAGACACAGACGGACAGAGACGGAGACACAGACAGAGGGGCACACGTATGATTATTTACAACTTCACGAGACCGAGGAGGAGGGAACAAGGGTCAAAAAATAAAACCCACAAGGCTTGTTGATATACCAGCAATGCTCCCTGGAATTCCGTGTTAAAACAAAGCCTTGCCGCTTCGGTGATCGCGAGCCCTCAGAAGTGTCTGCCAGAGTGAGCAAAATAGTTTATCGTGGCAGTTCAATGTTAGTTTGCTAAGGCTGTCTGCCACGTGCTAATCGATTGAATGTGACATTTCCGCCGACGACTAAACTGCCCGGAACGAACCTAGAGTTTATGTTCGAGACAGCGATCGTCTCCTCTTACTTCCCATTATGTAATATAAAAAAAAATAATCTCGACACGTTCGTTAAAGGACCGTCCTTCTTCATAGCACATCAAGAAGGAGCCATTGGCCGATGAGACAGTTTTCACAATTTAAGGTCACAGTGCTGTGTACACCGCAAGGCGGCACAAAGGCACTGCTAGGCAGAGGGAACAAGCGGGTGGGAATGCGGGGCATAACCGTGACGGGGCGACGGCGTAGGGTTTTGTACGGTCGTGCTGACACAGAAAGAAGAGAGGGATTGTGGGTAGAGGGCGGGGAAAGTCAGGTGGCAGGGGGCTTGCACTTGGTGCCCGCCTCCAAAAGCCTACTCTGCGCACGTTCCGTGGCCCTGGGGGAATATCCTAAAAGTAATTCATACGAAGAATCCTGTGGACGGCGGCGCTGATGAAGACAAAACTCAATGAAGAATGCCATTTCAAGAAACATTACCAATAGGCTTACAGTGATGACGTCACCTTCACTCTATTTAAGACTGAAATAGGAAGACCTGTAGACAATTCTGGCTAATCGCCTGATGAAGCTGGTTGTATGTAATCACCGGCGAAAAATCGAACTCTAAATGTATATGTAGTGGGTTTACTATCCAACACACCGCTGTGCTGAAGTAGTAACTAATTGGCACGTTTTGTTTGCGTGAAAAACCTTACTAATCGGCTGTGTCGGGTGGTGGCGGGTTTAACGCCACATTTATATTTATGCCAACTAAGCCGAAAAAAACCTTATCAAAAATATAAATAATTTCTTTTAAGGCAAGTGTTGTTGACGAGTATTGATTTTCTTTGTTACTTGTGCATCACTGCCAGCGTGGCATCACCAAACAACTTGTTCAATGATCTAGTGAAAACGTCGCTTGTGTAGACAGCCGATGTGTGCACAGAATCAAGTTTTAAATCGGCGCGCATCACCTGTCACGACACACGAATTATAAACACAGGACCCGACAAATCGAAATGGAACAAAAAGCACCCCCAGACGCATGGAGCGAAACATGCTTTGCATTACAGCGAGCGACTGCGAGAGGATGAAGTGACGACGCGCTGGTCGCAGATACCACACGGACTCGTAATTTGTGTTAAAGGTCAGATCTTGCGGGTACAATGTCAACTGGAGCGGTGCACACCCTCCGCCGCGAGCCCGAGACAGCCAAAAACAAAATCAAGTTGTCACCTGGACGAATGTGGCAATTGATTTTGTCCTTTAGGAAGCCGGTTATTTTCAAAAAGCAAGCAGGAAGAATTACAATTGCTTTTCAACATACCGCTAGATTTGTCTGGCTGTGTCGGGGGCATAAGTTCTCATTGACATCTTCCGCAGGCTCTAAACCAATCAAATAGACCTGAATCATAATATTGGTTGTGGGAGCCTCCGTATGGAATGACACGCGCTGCTAGCAATGGCGCGACACCCAGTAGCAACATAATATCAAACTTGTCATACGCCGCACAGTATTCGCTCAACTCCTCTTGACACGTATTCTTAGCTCTTTCGGTAAAGTCACGTTGAAGGGAAACAACAAAATAATAAAATATATATAAAACAATAAAAATTCTCACGACGTTTCGACCATAACACAAACGGTCGTCATCAGGTGTGTCGGTTTGCATACATTTATTTATTTTTAAACGGTGTATTTATTTATTTATAATAAAAAAAACGTCGGCGCCACGCGCAGAGATTTGGTAGTTTATTTAGAAGGACCAGTCCATCTATGTTCTGAAAAGAGGAGGGGGGAGACGAAAAATTAATGTATGCTGTCTGAAAGCCACCGTAAGCGTGAACAATCAATTAAGACCTGAAATGGTTTATCAAATCTTTCCAATGATTGCTAAGCCAGAATCCATCTTCTCAGTTGAAATTGTCTCTGTGCTTGTATATGTGGATAGCCTCATGAACGAATCTCTCATGGTAGCCAGATGGCTTACAAAGAACCTCTGTCTTGTCTTGACACGTAGAGTTTGCTGTCCTTCCCCCCGCACCTCCGATGTACGGTGCGAAAGAGGTTAAACATACGTCCAGAACAACGAAAGGAGGCGCGAGGAACCACAAAGCAGGAAGGCGGCGGCACTTCCCCTCCCGTAAGCTCTGCGGCTCTCTATATATTAAGGTGTTTCGGCCAAATATTGAGTGTTTGCATGCAGGAGGAAACCGGAGCACCCACAGAAAATCCATGCGTGCAAGGAGGCAACACTCAATCCCTGTACAGATGGCACAGGTGGCGTGCACATTTTTGCCGCACCGCCTTCTCCAAGGTCCACGGGAAGAGAGTTTCGCAACATCTGTGTGCGAGCCACCAAAAAAACGAATTGTTATTTTACCAGGTAAGGCCCCTTTCAGATATACAGCTCTTTTTTTTCTGAAGCAACCCGGCCCACAAAGGAGAGCTCAACGAAGTGGCTTATCCCGTGGAAATGTATGGCAGCCAAACACTTGAGACGCACGACGTTGAATCTGAATGTGGAGCGAAAAACCAGAGGAACCGGTGAAAACATCCACACGACCACGGGGGACAACACGCAAACTCCAAATATGCAGGCGTCAGGGTCAGGATCGAACCCCCAACCTCCTGTATACAAAGGCGAGCTAGTTAACACCTCGCCACCGTGGCGCCCCTAAGCCTTGCAGTTGCCGCCACAGTGATGGATTACAGGCCACGTCCGTAGCAGCCGCGAGTTTTAAACACGCGACAGTTTAAACGTACGGCACCGGACGCACGCATCGGGCATAACGAGCAGCCAGAGAGCATGACAACTGGACAAACACGCCCAGGTGGGAAAGGGGGGGGGAGGTAATGAGCAAAATAGCCGAAACTGAGATCGCGTGCATGCGTGAGCGAGATGGATTGAGACGGCACGGAACCATGAGCGGTGGGTGAACACGCGAGCGAGCGTGTTAGCCAGCGGAGCGGCTCCGTTGATGTTGTTGCCCGGTGCCTTGGCAGTGAGGGAGTGGGTGGGGGGGGGGGGCACGGTGTTCAGCCAGCGTGGTGAAGGGGGCGGTGGGCGTGGTGTTTAAACGGCTATGCTGGTAATGACCGAGGTTTTGTAATCAGGCTGGCGCTACTCACGACTCAGGAACCGATGAAAAAAAAAATCGCTGTGGTTTTGTGGGAATGTATCTCTAATTTTGCGTGTTTATTATTACTATTAGTCAATAATTATCATTAATTAAATGCACAAATTGTGCATTATTTATACTGTTCAGAGAGAACAATTCATTCGTACAAATGTTCCACTTCAACCATTCATCTCTCTATGTATATTTTACCCAGAGCTGCTTTTTTCAACCAATTTTAGTTGAATTGTGCTGTTTGCATTATGTCATCAACGAATGTGGCCAGTCCCAACCCCTTGAAGATAGGTGCATCAACCCACGTTAAAGAACAGCCCATAGAAGCATATATCACAGAACTACCCATTTTTATTGCTGTTATAAGCTTGCTTATCCCAGGGAAAGCTTCGTCGAGTCTCTGGACTCTCCTTTAGGACGGTTTCTGCCAAGTTTTCGCAGTAGGTGGCGATGATCGCGATGTTATATCCCAATTGGGTAAACTGCTGTGTCATTTTGCAAGTTCGGACCGCGACGCCGACACAAAAGCGAGCCCTCTCTCTTTACTCTTGCGATTGACGTCACGGGATCCTTTGACGTCCACTCTAAAGCAGATCGCAGCGCATTTTCGACGGTAAAAAAAAAAAAATCGGAGCAGCCGCTGGTTTCAAAACCACGAAGCCTCTGCAACAACGTCCGTGCAATGGCATCCGGTTGCCGAACATAATGCACTGCAAGGTCGCATTCATTACACACAAAGTGCTTCCCACAAATGAACCACGATACCTTGCTGATCTCGTCAAGGAGCATTAACCATCATCGCGCGAACTCCAGTTATCCTCAACCGTCGAACAAACACGGTCACAACTGCATCGCACGCTGTCAGATGCTTCTGCAGCCATCTGGAACACTCTTCCTTCCGACATTAGGAAGCCACGGGAGCTACGCACTTTTATATACAGATTGAAAATAAATTTCTTTGGAACTGCTTTTTTTGTGTTTATTTTGTCGTCCTTCCCCCCGCAACTCCGATTAGCACGGTTGTCCACATACGGTGCGAAAGAAGTCCAACATACATACATACATAGACTCACACAGAGACCCATAGTTTGTTGCCTTTATCCCCGTACCTCCGATGAGCACAGTTGGCAACATACGGCACGAAACAAGTTAAAATATACATACAAAATACATACACTGCAAACGGCGCGCGCACTACCGCTGAGACGCGTCACCGCTGACGCACGGGCATGTGATTGTTGCAGCAAGCATTGAATAAAAATAAATCCCCCTTTTACCGAATTACATTCCACTCGTGCGGTCGGTGTCGCATCACGAGATGAACATGTTGAACGTCTACAACCAGGGGCGGAGCCAGGATTTTGACATTGGCTGGGCTGACTTCAATATTCTGAGAGATATCCAGTGTTTATGTTTTCCGAT